ATTAAAATTAACCAGTATCACAAAAGGTTCATGGTCAGATTTTTAATCATTCACATACAGATAATGCAAATACATCTAATTTTCATTATTTTTCCAATTCACTTCCAAATACTATTTAAATTAATTTTCAAGGTATAGGCAAAGCTGCTATTTCTTACTGACCCCTAGTCACATTTAAGATGGACAGTGGGCATTATTTTTGAATCACTGCAGTGGTTTGATACAATCAAATGGCTTATTATTGCCATTTCATAGGATTTTGAGTCAAATAATTGATGTGGATCTGCAATAATGCGTAGGTCAAACGAGATAAGGATTGCAGCATTCCTCTGTCAAAAGACATTACTGAATAAATTTATGAGTGTGGCAGCTTCGTGGTCACTTATACCAACACTTTTTTTTAATGATTATTGAAACCAAATTCAAATTCTCAAACTACAACTGTCTCACTGACCCTGTTGTTGGTTTGCATTGGAAAGTGAAATTAGTTGGTGTTCTTGCGATCAGTCATTCGCTGTAGGAACATATGACACTACTGGACCCAAAGCATATTGTAGGTGTAGATGAGAAAATAAAAGGTATCCTATTCCCACATATTTGTTAATTTCCTCTGACCTGGCTGCTTAGAAAAGCAGATCTGGGCAGCTGCACATCTAATTCTTTACTTTCCCAGGAATTTCCTAAGGAACATCAAAAGGGATTCTATCTCAAAGGAATTAATCCACTTTTAAAACCAGAAAATACTACTGAAAAAACATAAGGCATTGTCCACATGATTCTAAGCTACAATATATTTCAAGTGGCTTCAAATGCCTTTTGCTTCTAACTAGAAACAGAAACAAAAAGTTACGTTGGGTGGAACTTGTTTTAGTATAGTTCCTGCATTCCTCCTAAATTTAAATTAATGCCTCTAAGGACATTTGCTTCATGTTAATGAAAATAGCATTAAATCCAAATTCCAATTAGTGGTGCAAATGATGGCAAACTGCAGTGCAATAAGGGTAGATCTTATTGTGGGCTTAAAATAATGACATAAATTATTTTCCTGTATAGCAGATTTAAAGGGAACTATAATTACATTCTGTTGTTTAATCATATATTTCTCCACTAACATCTTTGCAAATTGACATACATTTTCAAAGCTACTTTATATCAAGAACATACATAATTGAAGCTATTTTTCAAAAGTTTTCTATTTCTTACATTTACAACATGTACTTTGAGTATATACAGAGAGTTTCAAAATAAGGTAAAGAATGTAGTGTTTTCAATGGTATTCCTTACAGTCCACAAAATCCAAACAACCACACATTTCACTGCTCAGTCATGTAAATAATGGGTTTCAACTTTTACATCTTTGACAATTTTGACTCATTTCTATTTCTGTATATAAACACGTGAAACGAATATGCCAAGTGGGTAAATAGGATTGATACTATTAAAACGCAAAGTTTTCAGATAGGATTTGGGTTATACAAATGCTACAATTGCTGTACTTAAGAGGGTAGAATATTAACCTGTTCTCAGCTCTTTGCTATTTCTCCCCTGAGCTGGCTACTCAGAAATACAAAATAGCAGGCAAGGGACAATACTCGTTTGATTATGCGAGATCAGAAAACTAGCACATAGAAGTAAATGTTTGCAAGCTGTGTGTTTAATAATGGTCTGTATAAATGTGGAAAACGGTCTATTCTCTACATTTTAATTTAAATGTATTTTATTTAGAAAATGGATTTTGCCAGAGATGATGGGCAGCTACAACTGGCATCGCTATCCCATGCATCAGCAATACATGTCTTCCCCCACAGTTAAATGTTCACTGCCTATGTGACAGTGTAAGCATAGACAATTTTTGTGGGGTACCAGAATTTGCAGGTGAAATCACCACTTTCACAAAATTGAGTGTAAATGATGGAAAAATTGGAAGAAAACTGCATGTTTGGGGGAATAAGTTAACATCCTAAATCATATTTGAATAACTATGTTCTATATTTCCTCAAAATAGTGCTTTAAGAAATTAGAGTACACAGATGCCTTTTCCATCAGTTGATTTGGTTCAGATTGGGGAGCAAGCGATCCGAATGAAAGTGAATTGAGTTAGTCTGTGACACAAATAGCTTTCCTCATTACTGCTGTCACAACAGTTGATCTGGAGGGAAAGGTAGTCCAAGAAGACTTAGTATAAAAGTAGACAACTACACATAGTACACATTTATGAGGAGGCTAATGTTCTCAGGACCCAGGTTCAAATCCCGCCACGGCAGTTGGTGGAATTTGAATTCAATAAAAAACAATCTACGGATAACCATGTAACCATTTTCGATTGTAGGAAAAGCTCATCTGGTTCACTAATGCCCTCATCTGGTGTGGCCTAAATGTGACTCCTGACTCACCGCAACTGACCCTTTTTTTGTCCTCTGAAATGGCCTAGCAAGTTGTAATTGTATCAATTCAGTTGTATCAGTTGCTACGAAATCTCAACAAAGAAATGAAACCGGATGGACCACCTGGCATCGACCTAGGCAGTGGAAAAGACAATGACAGAAACAGCCCTCTTGACCCTGTGAAGTCCTCCTCACTAAAATCTGGGGGCTCATGCCAAAATTGGGAGAGCTGTCCCAGAGACTGGTCAAGCAACAGCCTGACAGTCATACTCATGGAACCACACCTTACAGACAATGTCCTAGACACCACCATCACCATCTCTGGATATGTTCTGTCCCACCGACAGGACAGGCCCAGCAGAGGTGGTGGCACAGTGGTATACAGTTGGGAGGGAGTTGCACTGGGAATCCTCAACATTGACTCCTGAACCCATCAAGTCTCGTGGCTTCAGGTTAAAAATGGCAAGAAAATCTTCTGATGATAACAACGTACAGTCCTCCCTCAGCTGTTGAATCAGCCCCTCCCATGTTGAGCAACACTTGGAGGAATCGTTGAAGATGGCAGGGCACAAAATGTATTCTGGGTGAGGGGATTTCAATGTTGCTCAGCAGCAGCAGTACTGATTGAGCTGGTCGTGTCCTAAAGGACATAGCTGCTAGATTGGGTCTGCGGCAGGTGGTAAGAGAACCAACAAGAGGGAAAAATATACCTGACTTCATCGAGGATTAGGCTGACAAGTGGCAAGTAACAGTCGTGCACACAAATGCCAGGCAATAACCACCACCAATTACAGACAATCTAACCACCACCTCTTGATATCAACATTACGTATAAATCCATAACATGTGCAATAAGGCTAACACAACAGGTCTACTTTGTTCAAATCTTCCAGCAAAGACTTGTAAGTTAAACGTCAGTTTCAAATAGATAAATGAAAGTTCTTGCTTATGAATTTGAGGCAATTAAAACAGCAAAGTCCTTTGCTGAGCCCAGGCATCCAAATACAATTTAGCCAAGGTTTTCTGTCTCTTAAGGAACACCAGGGCAGAATCTTCCAAGCCTGGACAGAGAAAGGGAATTTGGTTAGATGGGATGGTGACTCATCAGAACCCTGTCATTTGACTTTCTTTTCCAGAGTCCAGGGCAGGAAGGTCCAGTCTGACCTTCTCTTCCGGATGCCAATTGAGGACCTTAAGTGGTTCATCAATAACTACTTAAAAGCTTATTCCCCACCCCACTCCTCGGCTGCATTTATTTCAGCACCCTGCAGGACAAGGTATAACTGGTTAATTAATATGGCAGGCTGTCAGTTGTTAGTCCCTTGATCTGAACTAAACTGTGTATGATTGAGGGAGTGGACCTAGGGAAGTGATAGTGGCAGCCAGAGCCTCCTGTCCGGCACTACTGAAAGCTAGAGCTACAGGCCTCTGATTGGTTGGCATCTCTTTGCAGCGAGACATTGCACTTCCCCCTTTCCCAATCTATTGCCAATCAGATAATAATTCACCTTCCTGATTTTGCTGCAATCACATCCTGAATTCAAACTCCAGGAGAAAGCCCACTGGCAACCAATTAGCTGCTTGACTGCTGGAAGGTCCAGAGGGCTTTTCTGTCTTTCTTCATTGGTTGTTGGTTTCCCTCCCCTAAAATCCCCTACTTTCAGACTGATCTGAAAACGAGAAGATCCTGGACCTTTTCCGGACCAATTTCATGCAACTTTGAACCTTATTACATTTATCTCCTGCTCTACCATGTTAAGTCACCTTGGGAATCTCTCATCCCAGAAACAAAACAGAAGTCAGATATCATTTAAATCTCTTACACAGTATTCTGCAATGTGATACCACACCAAAGCAAAGCGCTCAATATATTTAGTTTTAAACTACTTAGTCTATTATAAAATAAATAACTGCGAGGCATTTAGAATTAACTCAAATGCTATCAAACCCTTGAATCCCATATGTTCATTTTCAACTCCAGAATTCAGATTCATTCTGCCTTAGAATTTCTGCAGGTTTTAAGTAACCTCCTGATAGAGAAATGTGATAAAGGAGAGAACTGAAATACAGATTTTGTTCCGTCTCTCAGGCTTTTATTTTAAAACAATCTTCTCTTATTTATTATTTCCCCCCTTTCAGATTTCCCTTTTACTCCAAAACATTCCTAATTAAATGGGCATCCAGAAAATCTTCCTCTACACCTCTGCAGCTGATGTTTTGTACGAATTCTACTTTTCTCTTCCTTCAGGAAGTTCAGAAGCATCTCACCCTAATATTAGCCTCCTCAGATGAATTACTGGAGGTTAGAAACTTGTTATGTTGAACATATAACAATGCACAGGTACACTGTCCTATACTGTAGTGGTAATATTTTCTAGCATTACCTGTATCTGCTTCCTCCAACCAGTCTCCAACCATCTCACCAAGTCATGAGATGCCCGAGAATAAACGAGAGTGCAAAAAAAAGTTAATTTAGGAAGATACTCTGAAAAATGATGCAAACCAGTATGTAGTTCAAATCTATTGCCAGTTACTGAAGGGTTAAAATATTTTCCAAATGCAAGAAAATGTCAGCACAACAGTCTGTTCATAATCTGGTTAATAGCCACCACTCACCTTCATCATACAATTCTTCCAATACTTGCCAAGTTTCAGCTCGGAGTTCTCGATTAGTTTTGCCCAAGGCATTTCCACCAGGCCAGTGCATGAGATACAGATCTGAAACAGGAATATATGTACCATACTGTTTATTCACAGGAGGAAAAACAGATTGAAGCCAACGTTTAGACAAGTCAGCAATGCATACAAGAGTTGTTGATGTGAATAGCAAATGCCCTGACGGAGCTTAGCAAACAGATGGTGCAGTCAGATGCTATACTCTTACAGATCAGAAAACACATGTCCTGATCGGTCAGCAATTCAGATGAAAATCCGGGATTGATTCCAGTGTTATAAACCAATATGGATACTGATTTACTATAAGATTAAATAATTATTCAAGCAGAGATGTTGAGAAGGTTAAGAAGGTTGGCTAATTAAGCAATTTGGCCCAACTTTCCTTCAAATAAACAGAAATTCCATTGCATTACCAGATCAGTGGAGTTTTATTTCTGGAACATTAACAGTTGGTGGAAATAAATAAGTTTACACGTTTGGATATTTCCTTTTTAAAGATAAAACGGATAGCTAGACCGTCGGTATATACTTGATCAACACAAAGCAAAATTTCAGCATCAAATCTCATCATTCATCGAAAAGCTTTCTTTATATCAGAGAGCAAGGTGGTTGACATTTTTAAATAGTTTTGTCAAGGTGAATATTTGTAATTTTTAATCTATATGAAATATATAAGTTTTTGTAATCCCAATCACATCATACCTTTGACATCTACTTGCAAGGTTAATTTATCCACTGTATTTTGAATGCTGTGTGCATTCAGGCACAAAGCATTTCACTTGTCTTTTCACTGTTCCTTGTCCCGTTCCCACTATTTTTACTGAGGCTTTGGTGGATTCTGGCCTTTGATTCCTTTGCCTATCACTTCTCTTATTTCCCTTTCTGTATTTTGTTCTTGACCTTGATTCTCTTCCTCTGACTCCTTGCATAGGTTCCCATTCTCCCTCCCAATTTCATTTCAATCCTCCCCAACCACTTTAGCAAATACTGTACTCTCAGCTAAGCCAACAGTCCTGTAACCTACTAAATAAAAACTGAAAGAACTGTGGATGCTGTAAATCAGGAAAAGAAAACGAAGTTGCTGGAAAAGTTCAGCAGGTCTGGCAGCATCTGTGAAGGAAAAAACAGAGTTAATGTTTCGGGTCCAGTGACCCTTCCTCTGTTCTGAGGAAGGCTCACTGGACCTGAAACGTTAACACTGTTTTTCCCTTCACAGATGCTGCCAGACCTGCTGAGCTTTTCCAGCAACTTCGTTTTTGAGTCCTGTAACCTGCCCAGTTTGTACTGGTCCCATTCCCCCAGAACCAGTCCCAATGCCCCAGGAATCTGAAACCCTCTCCTCACACCATTTCTTTAGCCGTGTGTTCATCTGATATAACCTGTTATTTCTACTCTAACTAGCTATGGCATTGGTAGGAAGCCTGAGATCACTACCTTTAAGGTCCTACGTTTTAGCTTGCTTCCTAACTCCCTATATTTTGCTTTTAGGACCTCATCCCTTTATTTGTTTGCCTATGTCATTGGTACCAATGTGTATCATGACCACCGGATGTTCAGCCTCTCCCTCCAGAATGTCCTGTAGCCACTCTGAGACATCCTTGACCCTAGCACCAGGGAGGCAATATACCATTCTGGCATCTTATTTGTGGCCACAGAAATACTTTACAATTGAATCCCCTGTAACTATTCCACATTTTTTTACTCCTTCCCCTGTGTAGCAGAGCCAGCCATGCTGGTTTGAATTTGGCTGTTGCTGTTTTCCCCAGAGAGGTAATTTCCCTCAACAGTATCAAAATGTATTTGTTTTTCAGAGGAATGGCCATGGGGTTTCCTGCACTGCCTGCCTGGTCCTCTTGCTCTGCCTGGTGGTCACCCATTCCCTTTCTGCTTGGGGACTCTTAGCTTGCAGTGTGATCACCTCTCTGTACATGTTATCCATGATATTATCAGCTTCGCGGACGGTCCACCATGTCCTCAGCTGCCACTCCAACTTTGAAAGCTGGGCTTCCAGGAGCTGCAGCCGAGGACGTTTCCTGCACACATTTTGATCCTGGCAGTGGAAATTTTCCTGGCTTCCTACATAGAATAGGAGAAGCATGCTATGGCTTTGAGCTCTCTTGCCATGACTTACCCTTTTAAATTAAACATTTTGGAAGATGCTGAATATCAAATTACATCGATTGCTGTAGTACCCTTCTTTCCTATTCCTTGTTACCACAGAATACAGCCCTTAGAAAATATAATTGTCAAAAACATCTTATAAACTATATGTGACAAAAGTTGTAAATATCTACCTCATACTCATAGTGTTTTGCTTGAGGAATAAAACATTTGCCAGTCTCAAACATTCAAGATGTGCAAAAACTGCTTCCCTGTAACACCAATAGGTTACAGTGAACTGAATTTGGAGTTGCTCGATATCTGGAAGTACTGCCATACACAGGTACTACAATGTCTGAAAGTGTCTGATAATTTTTATTCAAAATATGTTATCGAACTGATACTTCAATTGTTTCTATTTGACATTGATGCATATTCTTATAAATATTAACAATCAATAGACAACTGCATTCATTTTGTGCACGTTTCATTTTATATCTGCACAAATACCCATGAACAAGAAGATTGCATAGCTCTTTGACGTACAATGGAAAGAACACAAAACTGATCAGAAATTGAATAAATAAAGGAAATTCTAAATAAACAGAAAAAACAGGAAATGTATTGGAGAATTAGCATCTGAAAAGGAGAGATAATTTAATGTGTATCCCTATACATATAAATGTGCACACAGGGAAGTAAAGTAAATAGTAAGCATGTTTAAGAGAGAGTGAGTGTGAGTGAGCCAAAAAAAGCATGAAGATAGAATGTAAAAGCAATGACTGTAAGAATACACCCCTGAGTGAAGAACAGATTTCTTCACAGTATTCGGTTGCAATCATACATAACAACAGAACATTCTATTTGTTGTGAAGTAGTTTGGTCCTTGAATTTGAATGACTGTGTGGAGATCGTTAAGGCTTATTTTTGTGTGAATGGTCAGCACCATGTCAGGTGCATGTATTATTATTTTTATAATTCTAGCAGCAGGACTGTATGACAACAAGAATCTGAGTATTCCTTGCCTTATTTTTGCCACACAATCCAGCCCTCAAGTTGGCCTCTTTACGCCACCCTTTAGCATGGTCAAATATATGCAAATCACCCAGATCTCTGTCAAAAATACTTTGAGAATGCTGGTAAGAAATACAAGAGTGATGTGAGGACATTGCTTCCTATTGTTGAAGTACCCGGCCTATGTTCAGTATTTCCTCAAAGCAAATGACTGAGACGTGAAATTCACAGAATGCCTCCCATTGTGTGGCAATGTAAGAACCACAGCTTTTATGGTAGACTAAGTTTCAAGGTTTTAACTTAGCTTGTTGTTTAAGGCCCTGAGATGGGGGATTTCCAAACTAGGGGACACATTTTTAAGGTGAGAGGAGAGAGATTTAACAAAGACATGAGGGGCAATTTTTTTGTTTATGCAGAGGGTGGTTCGCGTGTAGAATGAACTTCCTGAGGAAGTGGTAGATGTGGGCACCCTTACAATGTTTAAAAGACACTTGGATAAGTACTTGAATAGGAGAGGTTTGGAGGGATATAGGGCAGGAGCAGGCAGGTGGGACTAGTCTAGTTTGGAATTATGTTCAGCATGGACTGGTTGGACTGAAGGGTCTGTTTCCATGCTGTATGGCTCTATGATTCTATGACTGGACGGTGCACATAGGCAAGTAGCATCATCATGCAGTTCACTCTTGTCGCTTCCACAAAGTAATGTGTTCAATTAAACTTTGCAAAATAAAATGTCCACTTTTAAGAGGACATATTATTTTGCAAAACATTGATGTAAAAGCTTGCAATGACTGCATTGCTGAAATTCCTGTAATTCACCGATGAACATGTTTTTCTTAAAATTAGAACAATACACGGTTATTTAGAAGTACTGGATACAGCTTGCACAGAAGGTAATCATTTTATCTCACCCTCGCAGCTGCTTGGTCACTTTCCCTGCTGACTTCTGAAACTGGTCCTACATACTTTCAGAATGATGCCAGAAAAATACTTGAAATGTTTACAGACACATATGAAAGATTACCTCATGGAAAATAATGGAATTCTTGAAACTTACTGCATGAACCTTTTTCAGTAACTTCTTATCAGCGTCACTGGCAAATATAAATTGCCAGCTTTCACACTGGATGAGGCTCTTACAAATTCAAAACAATACTATATCCTACATATAGCAACCAAGGTTTGCAAAAGACGGAAATTCAACAATGCAAGTGGTGCATTTTGAAAACTTTGCCCTTTAAAATAATTACAGGCAAATTCCAACAGTATTGTTTGTTCAGCTGTTCGTTGCCCATAGTACAAATGGGAGCTTCCTAATTAAAACTCTTTTCCTGACATCACATCCTGTCTTTTAAATCAAACAAGAGCAAAAGGAGGCCGAGCATCAAGATGTCTCACTTGCAACAACTATTATTATACTTTAAGAACCAGCAGTAATTTTTTAAGAAGTGCGTTTAAATTTGTGTAATCACAATAAAAAATGACCTTACAGAAAATTATTTCCTTCCTTTCAGATACTAATCTAGAAACAGGTGCTCAAATAAGGAGATAGACAAATATAAAAAACATTAGAAATATACACCAAATCAATCAGCACTTGATGAAAAAAGACAGGTTATGATTGCATGTGGGAACCTTCATCAGGAGTGTCTGATGAGTAATTCCTCGGAAATATTGATCTGTGTTTCTGTTTCAGGCATTGACTGATGTGTGTTTTTATTTCAAATTTCTGGCAATTTGTCCATGCAACTGTATATAGATAGATATCTTTGCAATTAAGTGCAGGAAATGACAATGTAACAACAATATTAATTTTGTATAGCTAGATGAAAAAGAAAGCATTTATATAGCACCTTTCATGACCTCAGAACCTCCTAAAATTCTTTACAGATAATGAACCTGGGAATTGTGGTACCCAATTCACACACAAAGTCCCATAAACGGCAGTGACCAGATAATTGTTTTTTAGTGATGCTGATTGAGGGATAAATGTAGGACAGGGCACCAGGAGAGTTCCTAAGCTCTTTGAGTAGTAGCTTGAGATCTTTTAAATCCCAAAAGGATGAAGGGACTCTTGGTTTCACACCTTACTGGAAGAGTGGGACTGACTGGTTCACTTTGTGGCAAATAGTATTGACCTGGAGGGCTAAATAGCGTCCATGACTCTATAAAGGTGACACCCCTGACATTCCAGCAATATTTCAGTAATGCACCAAGGTGTCAACCTCAGTTATATGCTGAAGACTCTGAAATGGACCTGGATCCATGATATTGTGAATCTGAGATGAGCACTGAATTAAAACAGACAAGGATGAATAAAAGCAAAAGAAGAGTCATATTGAACTTGAAATGTTAACTCTATTTCTCTCACACAGATGCTGCCAGCCTTGCTGAGTTTCTCCAGCACTTTGTATTTTTATCTCAGACAAAAATGAATATCTGGAAAGGAATTAAGAGTTTAAAGAATAAATCCTTTGGAATTTCCTGTGAAACATTATAGTCCTTAGGCTAGGAAACATAATTAACATCATGCCAAATAAGATAGTATGAAATAGACATTGTAGGATGAGAGTTGGAGTCGATGTGCTGGAGCTTTACACTCTATGACATTAATTTATTTTTGTGAAAGGAGTGAGAACAGTGACTCTTGTGTGGGATGAAATGAATACAGTGGGTTGTATGCAGCCTGTGGGTCCAACAGCTTATTCTCAGTCCATGTGTTTTTGATATTCTGTTGCAAGTGGTGTTCCTTGTGGGAGGCCCAGAGGTTAGAGGAATTCTGCCGAGTGCTTCCAAAGACATAACAAGCCCGGAAGGAACAGTGTAAAATGGTTTATGAACACTAGCAACTAGACTGAATTATTGATTTTAAAAAATATATTTCTGATAGTTGTTCAAAGTATCACTTTAGCTCATTCTTTAGGAGTTATATTCAGGGTAGATCCTGTACACAATGATAGAAGAAGCTTAGAAATTCAATGGGATGATATGACCGGCAATCAGACACAGTGGATAAATATGAAAGAACAATTTCTTTGTTAACTGAATATTATCAGTATTTCAATAATTCTAGCATAATTTGGTTAAGGATGATCAATCTTTTCGATATTTGTTTGTAATTCATCAGCTCTATTAAACAATAGAGCAATTGGTCTATAAATGTCATTTCATCAAGAAAATTAAGAATTAAGATCAAGCTGAAGGAGCTGTATAAGTCTTTATCTGACATGCTGGTAATAAATATTCAGTTAACAAAGAAACTGTTTCATATTTTTCCCACGGTGTCTCACTTGACATTGTTCATGTAAAGTTGCTAATATTACAATTCTGCCACCGTGATTTCTTGGCTAGCTATTTTGTTAACGGGTGGTTTGAGAATGAAGGAGCTGAAAGTTCTTGCATATCTGACAGACTCGCTATAATGTCACTGCAGCTAACCTGCGTGGGGCAGGGGAGAAGGTGGTGGCTTGCTGATCAGAGACTAAAATTCCCCTAATTAAAAAAAAAACTTCTTTAGAAAAGTACCCTGATGAAAGGTAAGAATGTACCAAGTTCATACTTAAAAAGTATAAACTGCTTCTTAACTTAGACCCGAATTCAATAAAATCATATTTCTTAAAACTGTTCATTCATACCAATGTAATCCACACCAAGTCTTTTGCAGGACTCCAAACATGCTGCTTTAGTGGTTTCACAGCCATAGTCCCCAGGCCAAAGTTTTGTAGTTATCCACAGGTTCTCCCGATTTATGCCGCTCTTTTCGATTGCTGTCTTCAGATGCGATTCACAGCCATATCTTTTTGCAGTGTCAATGTGACGAATGCCACATTCTTTTAGGGCATACACAACTGAAGAATGGGAATAGCCACCATGGTGTGATGTACCTGAAAGAGAAAACAAAATTGTGTGACAAAGCATGATTTGTAACTGTCAATGAAACAGAACATATGAACTCTGACAGTAAAATCTCAAAATGCCAGATATACATAAGTAATGGTCGATCTTGTGTAAAAGACAAACAAAAAATAACTTTGATGGCTTGCAACAACTAAGATTACAAGTTCAAAGTTTAACCAAGTTTAGTTTCAGAAGATTTAAGTGGAGCTTCAACAGACACAAATCTTTGACATATTTCTGCGTTTGGTACTTCATTTTAAAAACTACTGAGGAAGGGTCTCGACCCGAAACATCAGCTTTCCTGCTCCTCTGATACTGCTTGGCCTGCTGTGTTCATCCAGCTCTACACCTTGTTATCTCTTATAAAAGATTGACCCTTCTTAAATCTCAGTAATTGAAATTAAACAGGTTATCTGGTCATTATGGTATTACTGTTTGTGGGAGTATGCGGTGTTCAATTTGGCTACTCAGTTTTTTTTTTACATTGTGACATGGACAAAATCTCAAAAGTTCTTCACCGGTCTTAATGCGCTTAAGCATGTCCTGAGCTCATGAAGTAAATACAAGTTCTTTCTTTCCGTCATTTAGATACAAGCGTCCTGAACTGTGAGACACTTCTTTTAAGACTTGCAATTTCATTTTGTTGAAATTAATATCCTTCCAAATAAGACTTACAAATTTAACAACACAGTATTAAGGTCATTCACCTTTCAAAATTAGTTTGACAATGTTTGAACGTTATTGAAGATGGAAAGCTCACAAATTATATGGTAATTTATCTGACACAACCATTTGCTAACCACCTTCCAAGTTACAGAGTGTGACACTGGGAACTTTAACTGTCAATGAAACAGATCATATGAATTCTGACAATAAAATCTCAAAGTGCTGGATATGCTTGAATACTGGTCGACCTTGTGTAAAAGTCAAACCCTGATTTTTGGCCAAAAAGTCACTAATTTTTCATATACCTCATGTATAAGTCAACATCCAGCTTTTAGTCAAAAAATTTAAAAGTCTTTGTACTTATAATCCTCTCACTGCTGAAGCCAAAACTGTCCAATTGCAAAACTGTTTGAGGCAATCATAGAATAGCACAATACTGCAGGTGGCTGTTTAGCTCCTCATGTCTGCACACACCAACACATTATGTCACAGATACCACTTCATTGGTGCATGCTGTATCCCTACCAATCCCACCTCTAATATGACAACATGGTACCAAGGTGGAATGGCAGATACACAAAGCAGATCAAATTTAAAGTCATTTTGATTGCAAAGCATACAAAAAATTATGCAGCAGCTACTAAAATTCAAGGATTTCGAGAGGAATATTAAGAGATAGCAGAAAGCATTCTTCACATTTTAGGCAGATTCCGGAGTATGAATGTGCAAAAATGTGAAACACACTAACGTGGCTGCAGTTTGAGGACTCTGTTACAAAATATGTTCAGTGTTATCAGCATACTTGAAGCGCATTATGTTATTGTACTCATATCCACAATTATTTGTAAAGAGGATTAGAAGTAATAGAGATAGTAGTACATTTCTCTGAGGAGATCCAGTCTTTATTAGCATAAATTACAAGTTAATCCTAGAAACTGATATCTGTTGGATCACATTTGAAGGAGATTACTGATCTAAAGTAGAACAGTAGAATTAACGTTAAATGTTTTCCAATTTTTCAATAAGCTTAAATGGTTGCATGATATTTAATGGTATTTAAAGCAGAAGGGAAATCAAGAAAGGCAGCAATCACATAGCTGTCCAACGATCTGATGGACCAAAGTCAGGACACCATTGCTCACTAACTGTGGAGGTTGATATGCAAGTTCCAGCTGATCTATACGTGGAATATTGAGGAACTAAAATACAAATTGACACAATCCATTCAAAATACTTCACAGTTATCTCTATCAGAGCAATTAGTCTGTAATCATTTAGATCAGCAGGCTACAGCTCCTTAGCAACCATAATGGTGATGGATAGTTTCCAACAGTAAAGAGCTGTATGCATGTGAAGTGATATCACAAAATCCAGAGAGAAAGGAACTGCTAAGTGATGAGCACATTCCTTAAGGACTTTTCTGCTGATCTGATTTGCATGGTGTGCTTTCTGTGGCTTCACTTAGTTGAACTACTTCTGTGCCTCCCCTTTATTGGTAGTAACACAAAACCTTCGAGTTCAGGAAGTGAATCCTGCTACAGAAACACATTATTCATGAAATTCATTGCTTCCAAACTGGCTAAGAAATCTGTCTAGTCCTTTAACCAGCTTTGTTCAACCAATGAATGTCTCTCTAAACAAGCCCTTCACAGACAGCATGAGAAGAAAGTGTAATGAACTCAATGATTGGAAGCAGGAAGCATTCACCAATACTGTTCATGCTAATCTATATTCATTTTTACTCTGTAACAACACTTTTTTTTACTCCGTAAGATTTGTACCTAGGTACTTGTACCTAAGATGGCACCACTAAAGGCAGCCACTGTAAAAACTTTTCACTGTACTCCTGTACTGGAGTACATGCGACAATAAAGGATATTCTGAAAGCATGATACAGGTTCCAATGTTCCCAAAACAAAGTTGCTGAGGAAGGGTCACCGGACCCGAAACGTTAACTGTTTTCTCCTTCACAGATGCTGCCAGACCTGCTGAGCTTTTCCAGCAACTTTGTTTTTGTTCTTGATTTACAGCATCCGCAGTTCTTTTGTTTTTTTTTCCAATGTTCCCAAACCTGACAGAATGCATGCAAAAGCCTGTGTTGGCATTAGAATGGAGATTGTTGTCACATCATTCAAGAAATAGGAGATATCCAGTACATATGATGGCACAGAGGATGATTATTTCTGGAATGATGCAGCTGATGAAGAGTAATATTAAGATCTACATGATGATGCCATTCAGGAAGCCAATAAGGACATGTTCTGAACACGATGAGGAGGTGGATTTATTACACATTCAGTGCATGCTCTGCTGTCAAATAGGATAAATCTTTTCTCACAGAGGGTCCTGAGTCTTTGGAATTCTTTACCCTTGTCAGTGGTAAAGAAAAATTCATTGAATACTTCTAGAAAGAAGTACACAGAGTCTTGACTAACAAGAGATTGTAAAAATACTAAAATATTAATCAGTGAAAAGGTAAAAATGTAGAGTTGAGGCCACAATTAGATCAGCCATGAACTTATTAAATGGTACAGCAGGCTTGTGGGGCTGAGTGGCCTATTTCTGCTCTTAATTTGTATGTTTGTACATTCATAATATTTCTGTACCATGAGAAAAGTAAGTTAAAATGCATAAATTTATATATATGGTTTTTGTTCTTGATCTATTTGATGAACTTAGCTTGCAGAAATTAACGCCTGTCTACCTGGAGGCTATCATTTTCTAAATAAAATTAATTAAAAATTTAAGACAACAAATATGTATTTGTCCCTTTTGCACAGTGTTTAGAGGTAGAACTATGTCTGACCTGGGAACGTGACAATAGAGAGGCAAACATTTCAACTTCTTCGACCTGTAACTCACGTAAAAATTGACTCCGTACTTTTTGGTAAATACCTTGATTTAGAAATTTGACTTACAGGAGTATATAAGGTGGGTAAAATCAAACCTTTAAAACGAACACTATTTGGAGGGATGATTGAGAATACTATCTTGGGGCTCGGGTGACCAAATAAATTATTTCAATTTTGCTTAATAACTTATGTTCTAACAGAAGAACCTCAACAAATTTACTGTCGTTGTTTATTCTCTATTTGGTTTCTTTGCGAAAATGATTGCTAATTCATATAAGATTTTTTTCTGACAGCGTGTAAAGATAAAAAACCCTATTTGAAAACTTTGTAAAATCAGTATTTGCAAAATATGTTAAAGTCAATTGTAACAGTATCACATCATAAAATGGATATTGTACAACATCAGAATATTTTTAAAAACTGCCCATGTTGTATTTATGAAATAAACAGGGTTCTCACCTACGGCAAAATTGTTTAATTTCAGTTTGCTGAATAAATACGTTGCCATCTGAGGGGATGGTTTAACACAATTGCACTGCTTTTCAGTGTTGAAATGCCAGCACAGGTATGGAGTATTCCATGAAGAATAGAAATGGCCTCAAAAATATCAGCAAAAAGTGTTTGGAAACCATGGCAACCAGTCATCACCTCAAAAACATCAGCATAAGAAGGCTGTTCACACCATGGAGATCAGTGAGTCCCTCAGCGGGTTTTAAGGAATGAAGCGAATCAAGTGCGATAATTGGCAGCGCATTTTGGTGGTAGTAATAATAATTCGGTTGTATTTAGTGTAGTTATGAAAAAAAGATGAAAAAACCAGGATTTATGAGTCATACAGCATGGAAATAGACCTTTTGGTTTAACTCATCTGCACCAATCAGATATCCCAATCTGACCTAGTCCCATTTGCCAGCATTTGGCCCTCCAAACCCTTCCTATTCATATACCAATCCAGATGCCTTTTAAATTGTACCAGCCTCCACCACTTCCTCTGGCAGCTTATTCCATACATGCACCACCCTCTGAATGAAAAAGTTACCCCTCAGGTCCTTTTTAAATCTTTGTCCTCTCACCTTAAATCTATGTCCTCTAGTTTTGGACTCCTCCACCCTGGGAAAAGGACCTTGGCTATTCATTCCTATCCATGCCTCTCATGATTTTATAAACATCTGTAAGGTCACCGCCCCCACTCAACCTCTGACGCTCCAGGGAGAAAGGCCCAGCCTATTCAGCTTGTCGCTATAACTCAAACCCTCCAGTCCTGAAACATCCTTGTAAATCTTTTCTGCACCCTTAAAAACATCCTTCCTATAGAAAGGCGACCAGAATTGAACACGGTATTCTAAATGTTGCCTCACCAGTGTCCAACTGCAGTCTGACCTCCCAGCTCCTATACTCAAAGCACTGATCAACGAAGGCAAGCATGCCAAACATCTTCTTCACCACCCTGTCTACTTGCGATTCCACTT